AAGAAGTAATCCCTAAAATGTAATCATATTAAATGTGTCTTCAGGGTCCATGGGGGGCCCGCGTGCCAGGGGTTGGCAGCCTAGAGTTAAATATCTCTTACGCAGGTCATGGACGCATTTCTGAACTAAAACAAACATTTATCTATAATTTCTGTTCACATGCATTTATTCTCGTCTTTTGAGCTGTGAACTGTGGTAAAACAGAGCGGATAGACGGCCTGAGATATAAAAAAAACCAGGATATTTACTCACAGAGGTGCGGAGAAGTCTGCCAACGGTGGCCGCCATGTTGGATTATGTCACAACAGGAGGGCGGTTTGAGCCAGTCATTTAACCACCTGCTGGACAAAAATATATCATTCAGAAGCTAAAATAAAACAGAAAAATATCTTTAATTACTTTGTCTCAATACTACAATAAATATATAGTGGCTAAATATTTAACACTTAATAATGCCAGGAATAAAAAGGGGCGTCTGTGTAGGTCATGTTGCCTTCAGGTGCGCATTCAGTACGTGAGCGTCGACGCCATATTGTGAGTGGCGCGGGGATACCGTAAGACTGCAATAATAAAATGCTTTGGAAACTGTGCACTTAAAAGTACGGAAGAGGATTATAGCCACTGAAAAAAAGAAGTTAACTGACTTTTAAATATCATTTCAGTTTAATATAGGAGAAAAAGGTCAGAATTCTGACTTTTTTTCAGAATTCTGACTTTAAGAATTCTGATTTTAATCTCAGAGTTCTGACTTTAATCTCAGAATTCTGACTTTAATCTTAGAATTTTGGATCTTAATGTAGATGAAGTGCTCTTCCCTCATGGAGAGCACTCAGCTTCACTGCCAAAGATGTGAGTTGTTTGACAGGAAAATGATGGAATTAGGCGACTTTTTTATGTGCCAGAGGGGTCCCTGGTGATGCTTTTTTATTAATGGAAGAGCAGAAGGTGATTAAAACAAGAGAGCTAGTCTCTAAAACAGACATGGCTACGGCTTGATGCTAACATGTCTGTTAGCTGTCAGAATTCAGTCAGAATTCTGAGATTAAAGTCAGAGTTCTGAGAAAAAAAAAAGTCATAATTCTGAGATTGAATTCATACTTCTGAGAAAAACGTAAAAAATCTGATATTAAATTCAGAGATTAAAGTCAGAATTCTGTTTTTTTTTCTTATATTATACAGAAATCAAATTCAAAAATCAGTTAACTTTTTACATTTTTCATTGGCCCTAATCCTCTTCCTTACAAAAGATCTACAATAATCCTGCAAAGATTCCTTTAATTTCCAGTCTGTCAGCTTTAAACATTTTAAAACATTTAGACTGCAAAGTTCCTGTACCGTAATATTTGGATTCACACATTAAAAAACAAAAAATAGATCCAAAAAAAAAAAAAAAAAACTTTGTAACAACAGTATCTCTAAAAGAGAAGGCATATATATTATTTCCTATGTTTTTGAATGCAACATAAAGACACGCCCACAGTTCTGAACACGTGATTGAAGCCGGAAGTATTCGTTAAACAGCTTGACCTCAGATGCATGAGAAAGACATGCTTTATTATTTTTCCCCAACAGTTGCTGGTCTTCTTAACTTCAGAAGTGTGAATTAAACTTTTCGTTAGTTATGGATCCGAACCTGCAGCTCTGGAAAAGCCACGGCCAGGTAACTGTTCCCAGTGGTGTTTAAACATGCAGAGCAGCATGATGCTTGTTAAACTCAACTCTGTTTTCCACAGTCTTTCCTCAGTAGATTAAAGACCTGGTTTAATCTCCTGGATCCCAGCCTGCTGCTCTCCTCTGATGTGAGTAAGGATCACTATGGAGATCTGCTCTGACTGAATTAAGCCTGGTCACAATAATCTGCTCTCCACCTGATCTCCTCAGGCTGAAATACTTAAAGCCCATGCTCTTCTTGGAAGCAGAGAGAAGCTAAATAAAAAGGTCAGATTGTGTTTTAAAGGTTGGAGTGAATGTCTGAATGTATCAGTGACCTCACCCTCTTCTCTGTCTCCTCTGTCAGGATGAGGCTGCAGTGAGTCTCTCACTTGTAAGTTTTCAACAACCAACAAATACTCACACATCCCACTTCATTCATACATCTACTGCAGAAACAGGCATGGATGTTTCACTGAAAAGAAATGATGTAACAGTTTTTGGTACACTTAATCATGTTAATGTTAGCAGGGTGCAACATGAAAAAAAAATATGAAAGTAACTAAATATATTTAAATAGATGCCAAATGTGCACGACTTAATCTACTTTTATTGTCATTTTGTATACGCAGAGTGTATAAAAAAATTTTGTATAACTTTCACAACATTTCAATTCTATAAACTGCAGCGGTGATCAAACGTAAACTATGTGGGAGAAAATGGTGCAAAAATGCATTGATATGGAATTTCAGAGCATTAAATATATGTTTCATATATTTGTACATAATCAATTTAAACTGAGTTTATTTCTATAGCGCCAATTCACAACACAAGTCATCTCAAGGTACTTTACGGTTCACCAAATCATACAATCAAATTGATTTCTATCTAAGGAAAACCAGTTGATTGCATCGACTCATTGACTCGAGGGTAATCCCTCACACTAAGCATGCTTGTAGCGACAGTGGAGTGGAAAAACTCCCTTTTAACAAGAAGAAACCTCCAGCGGGACCAGCCTCAGTGTGAGCGGCCGTCTGGGAGGCTGACCGGGGTTCAAGGAGACAGAAGCAGACAAAGAAAAAGAAGCATAGATACAAAAGGCAACCAGCTCCGCCCTGTCCAGGAAGACATGGCCAGGCAGACGAGCCTCGAGCCAGCTGCCATGTCAGAGGATGAAGAGAGCACATCCAGCCAGTCGCAGTCAGAGAATCAGGAATACACTGAAAAATCAGCAAACAGGAACAGACCAGATGAAGCAATATGAGAAAAAGCAGAGAGAGCATAACTTTAGAGCAGTGGTCTCCAACCCTGGTCCTCAAGATCTACTGTCCTACAGATTTTAGATGCATCCCTGCTTCAACACAGCTGAATCAAATGATTGATTACGTTTTCAGGCCATACATTTAATTAAGCTCTGTTGAAGCAGGGATGCATCTAAAATCTGTAGGACAGTAGATCTTGAGGACCAGGGTTGAAGACCACTGCTTTAGAGATTGAACTAACAGATTCTGCAGAGTGGGAGAATAGAGAGAATGATGAAAAAGGGGTCGCTATGTCCTCCAGCAGTCTAAGCCTATAGCAGCATAACTATAGATATAGCTTAGGCTAACCTGAGCCCATATGGCTGCAAGTATATTTGCTGTTATTGTTATTAACATGAATTATGACAAAAAAAAGTGATTTCTTCTACTTGTTGACAGTCTTCTCTACATGCTGACTCTGGTGCTGTCCTCCCACTTATTTTCCGTCCTCCTGGTAGGAATATTTTTATGTTCATTTATCCCAGTTCGAATTTTTATCCCTGAATTTGTGCAATAGGCCGACCTTAAAGGTACCAGGAATGTCATTATTTGGAAAGAACCATTTTAACATTTTTATTTGATTATTTTTATGAGATCACAACACAGCTTTATTTTTTAATGTTTCTGTCTTATTCTATTAGAATATAATAAAAATGTATGAGGCAATGCTCTTAAATGTAAATGAAAAGTATCTTCATTTTTCCAAAAATATCAATATCACACAGAAGAAAATCTAATCCTTTTATTCTCTTGCAAAATTTTTATTATTTTTTTCCCTAAAAACTTCAGCAAAAATATTGGTTCCTTAGAAAAATTAGAAAATGTATTTTTTGAAAGATGGTGACTTTTACTGTTTCCTTTTCTCTCCAGCATTTTTTCCAATTTCAGCACCTTTGGTAGGTGTGTTTGTTTATTACCCGTTTCTCCATCAGAGGGGTTACATATTTGACCCCTGGTTAAATCGATTGTTCATCTGTTAACTTAAAAACAAAAGAACAGACCAGGTCTTTTTTTATGTTAATGTGAAGAGAAAGTATCAACCAGAACGGCAAAGAAAACACGAAATAAAGGTGAAAATTAGAATTACATCTCAGTGAGAGAAATATATATTTGATCCTCAAACAATAATTAACATAATTTTCCTTCATGTCTGAGGATCAGAAAAGCCTGAAAACATTAGAGATTGACGATTAAATCCGGTACGATTAATTTGAAATCAGTCTAACCAATCCCTAATAGGTGCAGCCTTTTCTTTTCTTAATGTGTTTTTTTTTTTTTTTTGGACAGTTTTTTTTTTTTTTTTTTTTCCTTCATTTACATGATTTTTTTTTTTTTTTTTCGGTGGGCAAATTATAAGATAAAGAGTTAATCCGATAATTAATCCCCCATTGCATCATTTCTGGTCCTTCTGAATGATATCTGCTGCTTAAAGGAGTCCTCTTCCTGATTTCAGGTGGTTGCGAGTCTTTTGTTTCATAGCGGAGTCAAACCGGCTCTGTTTTGGCAGGTAATCGTTCACACTTCCTCACGTTTTTCTCATTTGGCAATGATGATGAAATGAGGTCAATTATGTGGTTTGAATGCATCCTTTTGTTTTAGTTTTTGCTCCAGGGTTACAATGCCGGGTTTAACTACATGAACAGGAACACTTCAGCAGAGCAGGTAGAGTCTGTGAAACCAAACTATTGAATTAACGCTGATTAAATGTGCGTTTCAGCTTCCCAGTCTGTCTGTTTCCAGGGGAAGAAGGCGTCTTTAAAGCATCTTCTGCTCATCGCAGGAACAGTTTCCTACACAACGTTTGCAGGGGTGTGTGCAGTTATTCCTCACAGGTCCAACTCTAGATTAAAGTAACATTCTGAGGAGCGGCTTTTTGATTTTATTTTCTTCATTACTTTAGGCCCTTCCTCAGATTATCGTCAACAGACTCCGGGTGAGAAGCCCCCCGCTGCAGACGTTCTGCAGGTCAATACTACCCATCCCTCTCTCAGGTAAAAGTGCAAATCACACAAAGTTCAACTCGTTTCACATGTGGATCTTATTTTAAGTGTAGAAATGATTAAGTAAATATGAAGTTTCACATGGTGGATAACGTGAAAAATCGACTATTTTCGTAGTTAATGTTTTGTTTTTTCAAATGAAATCCATATCATCAGACATACAATGCAAATTAATACATGGCCGGAATTTAAAAGCACTTTTTCAGATACCAAATTATGGAGGACAAGGAGTGTCAATGAGAAATAAATAAAACTCAGATTAACATTTAAATGATTATTTTGTAAATCTAATTGAAATGTGTTTCACAATTTAACATTGTAAATATATTTATTTAAGAAGATTTGTGAATTGTATTTATCCATCCATTATTAAATTTTCAATATTTTGAAATATAATTTCTAAAAATAGAGATTTAAGAACCACAAGTCATGAATCTGATTATAAATACCTTTCCTTATCTAATCTTTGTAAAAAGCTAAATCTTTTTCCATTTTCTTGTTCACTTTGCATTTTCAAATTCTTTTTTAATTTTTTTAAACTTTTTTTTTTCTTTTTGTACCCTATTTACCCTTAATAGTTTCCCTTTTCCGTTGAGCTTTCACATGACCGTGTTAATAAGCGGTTAGTATATATGTATATATGCATATATATGTATATATATATGCATATATACATGTGTATATATATGTATTTATATATGTATATATGTATATGTATGTATATATGTTTGTATGTATATATGTTTATATGTATATGTATGTATATATGTATATGTATGTATATATGTATATGTATGTATATATGTATATGTATGTATAAATGTATATGTATATATATATATATATATGTATTTATATATGTACGTATATATATGTATATATGTATAGATATACATGTACATATACATGTATATATATGTATATATACATGTATATGTACATACGTTTTACGCTTTACATGTAACTCTATACATGTGCATTGTCTTCCATGAGGGTAAGCCTTTCACATGTGCAATTTGTTGCACTTCTAGTTCACTCTCTGTAAATTAGATCATGTAGTTACATGTGAAACCCATAATTGTTTCCACACTTGAAATGTTTACCTGCATTAAACATGGAATCTTTGCCACATTTAAAACTCTGTTTTTTCACGTTGTGTGTTCCTGTAAGGGACAAATATCTCTGATTGGTCGGCGATTTGAAGTGATCAGCTGAATGTTCTCCTCTCTTCAGCTGCTCTGGCCTTCTTCAACGTCCTCACCATCAGAAACGAGGAGACGGAAACGGGGATCCAAGTGTTCGACCGTAACGGAAACGCAGTCGGCGTTTCCAGAGCAGCAGGAGAAAAGGTTTGAAACGGAGGAAAATGAGTGAAGCAGACATTTTGATTCAACACTCCCAGACTTACAGGTTTTTGAATGTTTCCAGGCTGTGTGGGAAACTGCGCAATCGAGAGCCGTTCTGTTTGGGACGACCGCTGCTGTTCCTAACCTGCTCAGTTTGCTCCTACAGAGGTCAGTCTTTTATTTATTTACTTCTATTTTATTATCGCCATACATTCCTGTAAAATCAGCTAAATTAGTTCAGATATAATTTATCTCCTACAGAACATCTCAGCTTCTGTTTCCTCATTGTCCTGCTGTTTTACAACCTCCCTCCTCCGCCTGCCTCTGGTGACATCACAAAAGGCATACAGTGACTCAGCAGAATTTGATGTATTAAGTTAATCTTTATTTTGCTTTTTTAAATTCTTGATTTCAGGAAGGAAACTACAAAAAAGGCTTGAAAGTGTTTTCTTCTGTCAGGGTTTATAAAACCCATGTCACACCTTGATGATTTAGCCAGCGTATGCCTGACGTTCGAAAAATGTGGCTAAAACGCTGGCATACGTTGGATAAGTTATGGGTACGTTATGAGCACGCTGAAACACGATGGCACACATTGACATACATCAGGACATTTTGAGCATGCTCAAAACTTTTTCTGACATATGCTCATTGGTTTGCATGAAATGATGCTTGTTCATCATGTTCTTAATGTGCATGCATGTTAGAGCTGACTGGAAGTATTCAGCTTACTTAAGGCCTGACGTCCCTGAATCTCCTAAAATGCTGCCGTACGCTGAACTTTCCATTTATTTTTTCAATTCTGGGTGTATGCATACAGTATCATAATTACAGTATCATAATTAGTCCAGAAATGATGCTTGTTCATCATTTCATGGGCATTATGCTGCCGTGCGTTATGCATAAGTTAGGCTGTCATTGGATGTGAGTTCTGGACTAATTATAATACTGTATGCATACACCCAAAATTGACAAAATAAATGGAAAGTTCAGCGTACGCCAGCATTTTCGGAGGATCT